GGTTGACCTATCCTTCCGAGTGGTGTATATTTTGCACATTTCTTAATTACTTTGTCCGGTATTCCAGGTTTTAATACAACTCCTACACTGTATGGAAAATGTATGAAATTTAAGTTCAAATGTTTTGTCTCAACATAACACATACCTGAGTGTATTAACTCGTATACCCTGTGGACCCAACTCTATGGCCAATACATTGGATATCGTTGTCAGAGATGTTTTGGCCAAATTGTAGGCCAACTGAGATTTTTTCTATAAATATAAATGTTTATTAAATTATAATTAAATTTATTATAAATTATAGTATAGTATTACCGGTCTCTCAGATATAATGCTTCCGATATTAATTATGGATCCGTTTGTCTTTTGCAAATACGGGACACTCAGTCGTATGAGTTGTAGGGATGCCTTCACATCAACCCTCTCTGATTGGTCCAAAATATCCAAAAAGTCTTTTTCAGTTCCGTTGCCCTGTATTAAGACACCGGCGTTATTGACCAATACATCCAATCTATTGAATGTCTTAATTGTCTCATTGAACAGACGCTCAATATCTGTATCTTTGGTCAGATCCGCCACAACTCCCAATGGCTTTACAAATGATATTCAATTTAAATATAATTTCTAAAACTTAAACAAATTATTATTATTTCATTTACTTTCAACTTTTGACCAAAATATCCAAAAAGTCTTTTTCAGTTCCGTTGCCCTGTATTAAGACACCGGCGTTATTGACCAATACATCCAATCTATTGAATGTCTTAATTGTCTCATTGAATAGACGCTCAATATCTGCATCTTTGGTCAGATCCGCCACAACTCCCAATGGCTTTACAAATGATATTCAATTTAAATATAATTTCTAAAACTTAAACAAATTATTATTATTTCATTTACTTTCAGCTTTTGTGGTGATAATCGTTGGACTTCTTGTACCACTGTCTCCACTTGTGATGCATTCCTACCGGTGACGACAACCCTGGCCCCCAACGCCGAGAATAGTTTCACCGTTTGTTCTCCGATTCCAGAACTACTTCCGGTCAACAAAACCACTTTT